GGAGGAGGAGGAGGAGGAGGAGGAGGAGGAAAAGGACTTGGGGCTCTCTGAACTTTATGGTTTTCTTGCAGACGTTTCATTACCCAGCGAGGTCGTGATCTTTGCTCAACTCTCCCCTTCCTTCTAGCGCTGATCATGTTACGTAGTCGGGTCATGAAACATCTGTAAAAGAAGCAACCCATCCCCCAAGACCTTCACCCCCCAGTACTATCATCCCTGGGCCTGGGAAGCTTTTGCTAAACTCTGGGTTTCTGGCAGCCCCTCGGATCTCAGATCCTGAGTCCTGCAGGTTGGTTGGAGGTTCTCGCTTGACTGGGCGTCCTCTCCAGTCTCTCTCTCTCAGGTCACTTCAGGAAAACCCTGGAGGACTTTTCAAACAAACTTTGGGGAGTTTTCCTAAAACTCCCCCCCCCATCCCCCCCCCCCCCTTTTCTGGCTTCTCAGGCAGAATTACAACGGGGTGTCTCCACTTCACAAGGCTGCCAGCGAAGGGCGTGAGAACTGCCTCCAGATTCTGATTGACGCCGGGGCTGATGTCCATGCCCAGGACAACGAGGGACAAAAGCCCATCGACCTGTGCAAAATGTGGGGCCACCGAGTGTGCGCCAAGTGAGTCGGTGGGCTTCGGAGCGAGGTGGAAGGGAAACCACAGCATGTTCCCGTTTCGAAGGTACCTTGGAGGTCATCTAGTCCAACCCCTCCCCAGGGCTGGAATCCAGAACTTTGCAGTTCAGCCTAGTGGTGAAGGCACCGGACTAGAAAGCAAGAGGCTGCGAGTTCAAGTCCCACCTTAGCTACGAAAGGCAGCTGGGTGACTTCGGGCCAGCCCCCCCCACACACTCTCTCTCAGCCCAGCCCACCTCAGAGGGTTGTTGTTGTGAGGAAAATAAAAGGAGGAAGGTATGTTGGATGAGCTCACTACTTTGAGTTAAGGGTAAGTATACAGGTAGAATGGAATGGAATGGAATGGAATGGAATGGAAAGGAATAGAATAGAACAGAATAGAATACGATAAGAATAGAATAAGAATAGAATATAGAATGGAATAGGAATAGGAAGAATAGAATAGGAATAGGAATAGGAATAGGAATAGGAATAGGAATAGGAATAGGAATAGAATAGAATAGAATAGAATAGAATAGAATAGAATAGAATAGAAATTCTTTATTGGCCAAGTGTGACTGGACACACAAGGAATTTGTCTTGGTGCAAATGCTCTCAGTGGACATAAAAGAAAAGATACATTCATCAAGAGTCGAGAATCAACAGGTACATCACTTAATAATAATCATAGGGTACAATAAGCAATCAAGTCATACTAGGAAACAGTCCATATAAATCGTAAGGATACAAGTGACAAAGTTACAGTCATACAGTCACAAGTGGGAGGGGATGGGTGATAAGGAGTGATGAGAAGATTAATAGTAATAGTAATGCAGATTTTGTAAATAGTTGGACAGTGTTGAGGGAATTATTTGTTTAGCAGAGTGATGGTGTTCAAGAAAAAACTCCTTGTGTCTAGTTGGTCTGGTGTGCAGTGGTTGCCCTCTCCCCTCTCCCCTCTTATAGCTCCCGCTGCCTTAAGAAAGTTCAAAACATTCTCAAAGATCCATCTCATCCTGGGCACCCCCTTTTTTTGAACTATTACCATCTGGCAGACGGTACGGGATAATGAAAAGAAGGGCAAATAGGCTGAAAAACAGCTTCTATCTCAGGGCAGTAATTCTATTGGCTTCTACTACATAGTGCAATATGAATGTGATATCGGGGTTTCGGTCCAATGTGTGGAGTGTGAGGGATGTGTGTTTGTGTTTGTTTTCATAGTCATAAATTGTGCACTGAAAATGGTATTTAATTTCGTTCTACGGGGTGCAATGACAATGAAGTAAAGTAAAGAGTAAAGAAAAGTAAAAAGTGAAAAGTGAAAAGTGAAAGGTGAAAAGTAAAAAGTAAAAAGTAAAGGTAAAGGTGAAGTGAAATGAAGTGAAGTGAAGTGAAGTAAAGTAAAAGTAAAGTTAAATATCTATAGTCAACCCATCCAAGTCTCGATTGTCCCAAAGGTGCTTTTTATTTCAAGAGGCAACTGGACTTCCTTGTTTTTCTTTGAAGACATTTCACTTCTCATCCCAGAAGCTTCTTCCGCTCTGACTGGATGGTGGGGAATGGAAGGACAAATATTCTTAGAAGAGGGGTTAAAGAGTCAAAACTGAACAGCTCTCTCTCTCTCTCTCAACGGAAGGGGAGGGATACTTCTACACCCTCTACCTCCAATCTACAACAGGGTCCTTTTAGCAGTTCCAAGAAGGCTCCACATGCATTTGCACCACTCAGGTGGCCCTGAGGACACAGATAAACCTCCAGGTGGCCTCAGCGACCTCGGCCTCTAAAAAGGATGCAAATGTACAGCTGTCTGTAAGGGGTATGTGTTGGGGTTAGTCGGCAGCAGGTGCGGATGGCTGAGGAGAGCGAGGACTCAGATCAGGAGCCAGGGCCGTCAGGGAGTGGACTGCTGCCTTCAGAGATGGTGGGAGTTGGCAGCAGCGATGAAGAGGTTCCGGAGGAGCCTGTGCTATATGCACGTGCGCGCAGGATTGTTCAGAGGAAAGGACAGTCACAACAGCATGGGCGACTCAGGAGTAAGGCTGCAAGGTAATGGCCCCTCCTTCAAGAAGGTAAAAGCCAGCTGTGAACGAACGCACTTTGCAGAAGGCAAAGACGTTTTGAAACTCAGCCTCGTGGACATTCCAGTTGGCATTTGAAGACTCTTGTCAACTATTTCTTATCTGTTGTTCTGTTTTGGCAGACTTTTACAAAAACTTGGCAAAACTCTTTCTTGTTGGAGCTAATTTGTCGGAAGCAGCCTTTTATCTGTGAAGGTTATACTGCTGCCTTTGTCTTGTGTTTGTTCTCTTGGAATAAGGTTTGGGTCAGAACAATATGAACGGGGTGGGATTCAGCCGGTTTGGGTGGACCGGATGTTAAATTGACATCTGGTTCGCCGAACCAGTAGTTGGACCGACCGGCCGACCCTCCCAGGAGTCTCCATATGGCTCGTTTTGGATGTGCAGGTGTGTGCAGGATCCGCACAGAGGCTCGGGGAGGGTGAAAAACAGGCCGCCCAGGAGTTCAGGAAGACCAGAAGTGTGCCTGTTTTCGGCTTCCAGCGAGCCTCCAGAGTTCGGGGGAGGCCGTTTTTGCCCTCCCAGAGGCCTGAGGGAAGCCTCCGGACTCTGGGGAAGGCAAAAAAATGGCCCTCCCAGAAGTTCTGGTAGGCCACGCCCACCATAGCCACGCCTCCCCCCCCCCCCAGCAACCCGGCAGAGAACCGGCTGCTGAGATCCTTCCATTCCCCATCATCCAGTCAGAGCTGAAGAAGCTTCTGGGATGAGGAGCGAAAAGTCTTCCAAGAAAAAAACAAAAAAACAGAAAGTCCAGTTGCCTCTTGAAATAAGCACCTTTGGGGGACAGTCACGGGGTTAGGAAAGAGCAAGGGAGGCGCAGACGAGGCTGCTTAACCCCTCTGTTCTCTCCCCACCCCCAGGCGTCTCTCTCACGCCATGTGGAAGGCCAACAAGAAGCACCAGCTGCAGCAGATATGCAAACTGGAGTCTATCAAAGCCGAGTGCGAGAGGAAGCAAAGGCAATTCCTTCAAAGAGAACAGGTAGCGGTTCCTGCATGTTTACCTTCACAGGTATGACGTCTCTTGTGGTTCGCCGGCAGCCGGTGCAGACGGCAGAGGTATCGGACAGCGAGGACGAAAGGGAACCAGTCCGGGAGTCTGGCAAGGACTCGGACGAGGGTCCTGCATCCGATGCAGGGATGGGGCCTAGGACCGTCTGGGAGTTGGGATGCTGCCTTTGGAGCCTTCGGAGTCTGGCAGCAGCGAGGCCGAGGAACAAAGGGAGCCTGTTCCCAGTTGGCGTGTGCACAGAGCTGCTAGAAGGCGAGAGCAGCTGAAACAGAATGGGCAACTCAGGAGTAAGGCTGGGAGGTGATTGCCATTTATCCTATAAGGGATAAAAGTCAGACCTCAATGACGAACTCTTTGCAGGAAGCAAAGTAGTTCGATTAGATTCCGAGTCCTTCGCGAAGCTCTGTACTTTGGTCAGGTTTTTTGGGGGGAGGGGGGATTGGTTTATGTTAAGCCTTAATTGGACCCCTGTTACTGGCAAGCATTCTACAGCACTGAACAGCGTGCTCTTATTTGTAGGAACTGTGTCTAATGAGTTTGGGCTGGGAACGCAAGGAATTCCCAGCGTCACATTAAAATAGGTTTCACTTTTAAGAGCAGCTTGTGTTTGATTAAGTTTGACGAAGTCTGGGTCAGACCAATGTCACGAATGTAACACGCACGAAAAACAGTGGCAGGGATTGGGTAGGTCCGATCTAATGAAAAAAAGGACCAGGGGAGACACGATAGCAAGTCTTCCAATATTTGTGGGGCTGCCCCAAAGGAAAGTGGGGTGCAACCTATTCTCCAGAGCCCCTGAAGGCAGGACAAGAAGCAACAGATGGAAACTCATCAAGGAAAGAAGCAACCTGGAATTAAGGAGAAATTTCATGACAGTGAGAACAATTTAGCCAGTGGAACAACTTGCCACCAGAAGTTGTGGGAGATCCAACACTGGAAGGTTTTAAGAAGAGGAGACTAGACAGGGGGTTGGACTAGAAGACCTCCAAGGTCCCTTCCAAGCGTCTTCTGATTATTATTTAATAACAAAACAACAATAATAGTAATAATTTTGACTGTCTCCAGGCAAATTGACCCAGAAACACCCAGCTGGTCTTCATGCCTAAGGTGAAACTAGAACTCACAGCCTCCTATTTTCTAGCCTGGTGCCTTCCGTATCATACATGTATCCATTTAATTCAATTCAAGGGTGGGATTCAAATTTTTAACAACTGGTTCTGTGGGCGTGGCTTAGGTGGTGGGCATGGCTTAGGTGGTCATGTGACTGGGTGGAAGTGGCTTGATGGCCATATTATTGGCTGGGCGTGGCCAACTCAACATCACCCACATCAAGGCATGCATCTCCTCGCCTGGCCTCTCTTGACGGTGGGGATGCTACAACAGTCGTAAGTGTGGAAAATGGTCATAAGTCACTTTTTCCAGTGCCACTGTAACTTTGAATGGTCACTCCACCCAAGCAAAGTACCAGCAAAGGAGGGGAAAAAAACTCCTGAGATGTTCCAGAGACAGGAAGTCCAGTCCTGCCAAGAATGTAATGAGGGTTAACGGAGAGGCAGTTTCTGTAAACAACACCAGAATGTTTCCTTCCTGCCTTCCTTACAGGATTAGCCCAGTCATTTCTTCTAACAACCGGTTCTCCGAACTGCTTAGAATGCTAACAACCGGTTCTAGCGAATAGGTGCAAACCGGTAGAATCCCACCTGATTCAATTCCTATGGCCACTCGTCTCAAGTTCATTCCTCTGAGTGGCAGGACCCGGCCTTTAGGGCCCCAAAGGCCAAGAGGGTAAGGGTCACCTCATGTTGGGGAAGGGGGCTGCTGTTATGCCAAAGGCCAGGGGCCCGGGGTCAGCTCCTCCCCTGGAGGCTTTCCAGAAGAGACTGGACTACCTTTTGTCAGAAATGGTGTAAGGTCTCCTGTTTAGGTGGGGGATTGGACTAGATCAGGGGCCGCCAACCTTTTGGACCTCAGAGACCACCAAACTCATCATTTTAAATCCCGCAGACCAGAGACCCTGGGAAAATTCCCCAGAGTCTGCAGGAAAATTCCCCACCCCGTTTTCCTACCAATCGATTGTTCTTTATTTGGGATCGCAGGATATCGTCTCCAGCTCTGTTCTCAGGGGGAGGAGAGACTTTTGGCTTCATGCAAAGAAAGCAGCAGAAGCAGCAGAAGTCTTTCTTTCTCTCCCCCAAACTCTGCCAGAAATAAGTCTTTGTGAGTCTTGTTGCACCGGCGCAGCCTCTTGGAGCAGGAGGCCTTGCAGGGTCCCAAAGACTCATTTCTGGCAGCGTTTGGGGGAGAGAAAGAAAGACTTTTGCAGCTTTCTTTGTGTGCAGCCAAAGGCAGAAGAAGAAAGAAGCTGGAAGGAGCAGTCTGGTGGCCAGGCGAGGCATGTGGGTTCAGTGGGGCAAGTCCCCCCACTCTTTCCCCCGTCCCCTCATTCCCTTGTGTTATTCACAATGCAAGTGTTCCCGCGGGCGATATGGGCCTTGTGTTTCCATGCAGCCTGGATTAATTGCTTTGGGGGGATGCTTTGGGGGTGACATTTCTCTGCAGACCACCAACCTTTTCTCATGGACCACCAGTGGTCCCCGGCCCGCTGGCTGGCAACAACTGGAGTAGATGACCGACAAGGTCCCTTCAGCAGTGGGATCCTACTTTTTCCATTACCGGTTTGGTGATTGCTCATACACCTAGTGCGCATGTACCTAACGCGGGCGCCCAGTTTTCCCCACACCAGGTGAGGCCTGCAGCGCCAAACAGCTGAGAGAATAGAGAAGGTCGGATGAGAGGGCTGATCCTGGGCTTTTCTCTTCTTTTAACTCTCAGCTGATTGTCCAGGATTTTTTTCCCCCTTCTCTCAGCTGATTCTCGGAGACTTTTACTACCAGTTCCGCCAAACCAGTCCGAACCAATAGCATGCCATCACTGGGTCCCTTCCAACTGTGTTAATCTGTATCTGTTATCTGCTTTTCCCTTTCCAGAGGGAGCTGAACATCTGCAACGTGATGGCCTTTGAAAGTTGGCTGCTGAAGAAGGGGCTGCCGTGGCCCTCTCGGACCCTCCTGGACCTGTCCCAGGTCAAGCGCCACTCGCTGACCCTCCGCAAATTGGTTGGCCAGATCGCCACCCCCATCCCTTCCCTCAGCAATCTGCTCAGGGGCAATGCTTCCGACTCAGTCCTCAGCATGCAGCACAGGTACCGGCGTCAGAAGCCCTGGAATTTCAGCACCAACCTTGACTCTGAACCGGCCACGTCCATCTGCCGTCCGGCTTTGATCCGGCTGGGCGTGGAAGCCGAGAAGCTGCCGCACCATGACTTCACCTCCTTCCTCTTCCTCTTCAAGGATCCTTTCGGGGATCCGGTGATCCAGATCGACAACATCGGCAGGGTCTGCCCCGTGCCGGATCTCCCCTACGAGGTCCTTCACCAGAGCCTCTATCCCCACACCTGGATGCCCCGCCTGGAGGTGCCCCGGGACCTCCGGCCGGTGCATATCTTCAACTTGAAGCACCGGCGTCCCCCGGGGCCCGAGCACTGGTGGACCGACCAGATGGCCCTGAGCCTGCGGGTCACCCTGGATCCCATCTTCCTGAGCAGCCTGCAGAACCATGTCTCTACCTACTGCAGCGCCGAAGCTCTGAGCCCAAGGACAGCGAGCTTGGGGTCCCCGAAAGAGACCCCCTCCGTCCAAAGTGAAGCATCCAGCCTGTAGGAGGAAGTCCTTGCAGGCCCCTTTGGCCGTGCCCCAGAGAGCAAAGGGGCAAGGATGCCCCCTCCCCTCAAAATGCCCCCTCTCTATTATAAAGTATTCGATAGAGTTGACTTTGCAATGCTCAGAAACATTTAATAATCATCATAATTTTTTTAAAAAAAGGTGAAAAGTTGAGGGTAGATCTTAATGCCTTATTTTATTGCACCCAAAGGGACGCGGTGGCTCAGTGGATAAGACGCTGTGCTTGTCGATCAGAAAGGTCGGCAGTTTGGCGGTTTGAATCCCTAGCGCCACATAACGGAGTGAGCTCCCCTTACTTGTCCCAGCTTCTGCCAACCTGGCAGTTCAAAAGCAGATAGAAAAAAATGCAAGTAGGAAAATAGGGACCCCTTTGGTGGGAAGTTAACAGCGTTCTATGCGCCTTCTTTGGCGTTTAGTCATGATGGCCACACGACCACGGAGACATCTTCGGACAGCACTGACTCCTGGTATTTGTAACGGAGAGGAGCACCGCCCCTTAGAGCCGGAAACGACTGGCACGTACACGTAAGGAGAACACCTGTACCTTTACCTTTTACCTCTTTTCTAGCACTGCGGAATCAACTTCTCCATAGAGAAGTTTTGCTTCTCCTCAAAGAACTTCCTTCACTTCAACTCTAACCCAGAACCAAAGAGGCTTCTTGGATGAGAAGCGAAACCTCTTCAAAAGGGAAAACACAAGAAAGTCTAGTCGCCTTTTGGGATAGGCATCCTTTGATCTGGAAGTTTGGGGCTCCTCCTGGACAGGGAAATGGAGGCTATAAATGGGGTTCCCCTTGTGGATCCCCTCTAATTGGCAGGGGAAGTTGGAGAGGAGGACTAGCAGTGAGAGGCGGTGACTCAGTGGTTAAGATGCTGAGCTTGTCGATCAGAAAGATCGGCAGCTCGGCGGTTCGAATCCTTAGCGCCACGTAATGGAGTGAGCTCCCGTTCCTTGTCCCAGCAGCTTCTGCCAACCTAGCGGTTCGAAAGCAGGTAAAAATGCAAGTAGAAAAACAGGGGCCCCTTTGATGGGAAGGTAAACAGCGTTTCGTGCACCTTATCGGCGTTTAGTCAACGGAAACGTCTTCGGACAGCACTGGCTCTTCGGCTTTGAAATGGAGATGAGCACTGCCCCCTAGAGCTGGAAATGTGCGAGGGGAACCTTTACCTTAACTGCACGAAAGGAGTTGGAAGTAAATGCCTTTTTTTTTCTTCCTTTTTCCCTTCCTTTCCCCCCACTACCCACTTTCTTTCCTCGTTTTTTTCTTTTCCTACTTTCCCTAACGTTTGCTTTCGTATTCTCTTGGTATGTCCTCTTTATAAAGTAATAAAAGTATTTAGATAAGAATAATAAAAGCACAGTTAGGGCGGTTCCACTCCTGCGGCCGTCGGTCCTTCGTTCACAGCAGGAACTGGGGGCTCCCGAAAGGCGGGTAGTCCTCAACTTACGGCCGCAATCGAGCCTAAAATTTCTGTTGCTAAGCAGGACAGTTCCTAACCGAGTTTTGCTCCGTTTCGCCATCTTTCCCGCCACTGTAATTAAGTGAATGGCTGCAGTGGTTCAGTTAGTAACCCCATCGTTAAGTGAATCTAGCTTCCCTCGTTAAAAGGTCGCAAAAGGGGATCATGTGACCCCGGGACGCTGCAACCGTCGTAAAGATGAGTCAGCTGCCAAGCGGCTGGATTTTGATCACGTGATCACAGGGGATGCTGTGATGGTGCTAAGTGTGAAAAATGAGATTTTAGTGCTGTTGTAATTTCAAATGGTCACTAAATGAACGAACGTAAGTGGAGGATTCCGTGTTCACCCCCAATAAAAAAAAAAGAATGCCAAATGAAATCCCTTGTCATGCCCCCATCGGAATCTGAATCCGAGGAGGAAGACAAACAGTTGACAGGGAGCGGGAATGTGGCTGCTTGGCTATGGAGAAAACTGGGGAAGCGCAAAGTCTGGTTGGGCAGAGCAGGGAAGAGATAGAACAAGGGAGAGTTCAGAGGAAGACCCAGGCCTACCCCCTCTTCATCCTAGGGCACGCAGGGAGGAACGGAGAAGAGAGCAACATGGGTTGGCTGGCTTATGAGGGAGGAAAGAGCCCTGACTCCCTTCACAAGGCACACTTGGGGAGGGAGTTTAAAGGAGAGGCAGTTGGGAGGGGCGTTTGTCCGGAACAAACGTTGAGTTTATCTAGTGTTGGTTGCTTTTATCTGAGTTCCTGGCATCCTCCCAACTGGTTGGATTTATTGCCATGTTACTTCACTTCTGGAACTCCTTATCTTGCCCTGCCAGATTTATTACCTTATCTTGCCTTGTTGGATTTATAGTTTAGTTTTCTGTTTACACCATTTTGGATTGAAATATCTGCAGCCCAAGGCGGTTGCAGGTTCCTGGGAGAGTTTTTCTCCAGACCGGAGAGTAACCGGGACATTGGGGGCAAACTTGGAGCTAATGAAGAGAGCAAGACTTATTCTCTGATTGTGTTGCCTTGGTGCCACGCCCCGGGTCATCCCACCCTGAAGAAAAAGGGGAGAAGAGAGTTGTCTCTTTGTTCTGTTGTCATTGAACACCTTTATTGAACACAAACTTTGTGCTGAAAGAGACACCTGTTGCCTTCAGCCAAGAACATCGCGGCAGCTGGAAGCCTCCGGAGGTCCTCTAGACGGGCCAGGCAGCCTGACAACTGCTGGGGCAGAGCCAGAGGGGTGGGGGCGCCCAGCCCAAGGAGCAGAGTAGACCCTCGTGGCTTCCTGCGTTCCAAGCACAACCTGGCGAATTCTTTGCACGCCATCCTGGTTCCTTCCCCAACCGGGGCGTTGGTATAGTTCGATTTTCACATGACACCAGGGAAGTTTTGCAGTCTTTCTCTGCTCAGCGCAGCTTTGCTTTTCACACACTCCAAAAGAGCGGAGCCAGGAAGTTTGTGTGGAACCATCCTTCCTGGTTTCCTTTTTTTTTCCTAACAAGAACCAAAAATCCCCCTCAAAACACAAGTTTAGCCAGTTTCCCAGAGAGGAACCCTCCTAGCACAATGAAGGAAGAAGAATTATTAGACTCCTTTTTTTGTTGTTGTTGTCATTCCTGGCCGGCTGGTCTGTTTCGGGTCAGCCACGACGGAAGAAGGCGGCGTCTTTCAGAAGTCCATTTTGTCCTTCGTTCCCGGGCAGATTCCTCTCACAAAAAAAAAAAAACGTTGGAAGAAATCCGGCCGTGGAGAAGTCGCGTCCGCCTTCCTACCCCGAAGAGATGAACTGCCCCGGCTTAAAAAAAAGCATGCTAAGAGCTCATCGGAAACCCCGTTGAGAGGGGTGGAGCGAGATGGGGGGCGGTCCTCGACCTCGTCCCCCTTCCCTAGCCACCCACAGGAAAGAGAGCTGCTCCCACGCGCACACCTTGGGGGCTCTTTCCCGCTTTGTTCACCCTGAACGGATCTGGAGGTCAGGAAAAAAGAGGGGGACGTGGAGGCTCAGAACAGGAGGAAGGTCCCCCTGTGTCCAGAAGAGGGAGAGGGGTGGGTGAGAAACGACAACATCTGGGGGGAGGGGGGTGTTGCTGGAGGGGAGGACGATCAGTACATCTTCTGTCGGCTGGGCAAGATGGCTTCCTTGATGAAGGAGAAGACGAGGAGGATCCCGGAACGTTTCCCTCGCTTCCCTTTGGTGAAGTAGTTGGAGACCACGTCATCTGAGGAGGCAAAGGAGACAACGATCAGAGCGGAGGCCGAGCGAGTTTGGGGGTTCCAAACGGCCATCCGTCCACCTAACCCTTCCCCACAGGGCCAGAGGGGGTATTCGGCCGGTTCTGACCGGTTCTGGAGAACCGGTAGCGGAAATTTTGAGTAGTTGGGAGAACCGGCCAATCCCGCCTCGGATTGGCACCCGCCAACCCCATCTCTTCTCTGCCTCCCATTGAGTCCCAGCTGATCGGCTGGGATCTCCTTCGGTTGCCCTGCTCAGGAGAACGGAGCTGGAAAGCAGGTTAGTGGGGTGGGGAGGGAAGGGGGATTTTGCAGTCCCAGGAGTAGGGAAGGAATATAGGTTTTGCAGTACACCTTCCTCTGCCACGCCCACAAAACTGATAATAATTTTTTTTGAATCCCACCACTGCCCAGGCCCCACTGTGGAGAAAACACTCGTCCCCCCAGACCCGCTCATCCCACCCGCTGACAGCTGAAGGGACGCGTGGGAACCAGAGGGTAGGCGAGGGAGCCCCACGCCAGGCCCGTCCGTGGTGAAAAGTGAATATTTGCATTGAATATCAGAGCTGAACGGGGCAGCTGGCTTTGTTCCCTCTTTCTTATTTCTTTTTTTTTTAATATCCAGCAGCATTTAATTATTTTTCTTTTATATGGTTTTTTTTTCCACAGAGCATTTTATAGAATAGAATAGAATAGAATAGAATAGAATAGAATAGAATAGAATAGAGTAGAGTAGAATGGAATGGAACGGAACGGAATAGAAATGAATGGAATGGAATGGAATGGAATGGAATAGAATAGAATAGAATGGAATAGAATGGAATGGAATGGAATGGAATAGAATAGAATAGAATAGAAATAGAAATGAATGGAATGGAATAGAAATGAATGGAATAGAATAGAATGGAACGGAACGGAATAGAAATGAATGGAATAGAATAGAATGGAACGGAACGGAATAGAAATGAATGGAATGGAATGGAATGGAATAGAATAGAAATAGAAATAGAAATGAATGGAATGGAATGGAATAGAAATGAATGGAATGGAATGGAATAGAATAGAATAGAATAGAATAGAATAGAATAGAATAGAATAGAATAGAATAGAATAGAATAGAATAGAATAGAATAACCTTTATTGTCATTGCATTCCACAAATGGAATGAAATTTGAAAGCTACTCCAGCACAGCGCCCCAAACACCACATCACAATCACACTACCGAGTATTTAAAATAATAATAATAATAATAATAATAATAATAATAATAATAATAATAGGACTAAATCACAAATGCACTGTTTGCTTCAAAACAGTTCCTGGCTTGGAAAAGAAACTGTTTTTCAATCTACTAGTCCTCATTTTATGACACCTATAACGCCTCCCTGATGGTAACAGTTCGATATATGAATGTTTAGGATGAAACGGTCTGTGGAGACTTTCAGTGCCTGGTTTTCGCAATCTCCTCCAAAGAAGAACGAGAGCAACCGATGATTTTATTTTATTGTACAATATGTCAACTCAATAAAATATTTCTATGGCCTTTTTAGAGATGCCAACAGAAAGGGAGGGAGGGAAAGGGGTTTGAAAGAGCAGTGATGCAGCTTGGAAACCGAAAGTGCATTCCATAAATAGTTTTTCAAAGATAGTAACTAGGTGACTGAAGTTTCTGCTGGACAAATATCTAACTGGAGAGCATGATTGATGATTCTTGGCTATGGACGTGTCCCATTGGAGAATGTGAATTATGACACACCCACAGGGGAGGGGAAACCAGGGTCAAGGGTGACAATAAATGATGTGTCCCAGAGTCGGCTACACCCAGGCAGTGCCGGACATTTTAAGTCCCAATAAATCCTTTTGAAGTTTTGGAAGTTTGGCTCAAGACTCAGGATTCAAATGGGGTTAAGTGCCGGAATCCTGACATAATATAAAATACAAAAAGAAAAAGAAAAGAAAATAGGAAATGAAGGGAAGGGAAGGAAGAAAAGGGAATGGGAAAAGGGAGGGTGTGATACAAGGGGGAAGAGAAAAAGAGTACTAGAAGTGAGAGGTGGTTAAGATGCTGAGCTTGTCAATCAGGAAGGTCGGCAGTTCGGCGGTTCGAATCCCTAGCGCCACGTAATGGAGTGAGCTCCCGCTCCTTGTCCCAGCAGCTTCTGCCAACCTAGCAGTTCGTAAGCATGTAAAAATGCAAGTAGAAAAATAGGGACCCCTTTGGTGGGAAGGGAACAGCGTTCCCTGCGCCTTCAGCACTTAATCATGCCAGACACATGACCACGGAGACGTCTTCGGACAGTGCTGGCTCTTCGGCTTTGAAATGGAGCCTCCGGGAGGATGAAAACTGCCTCAAACGGGCTGAAAAACAGCTGGGAGGCGCGCACATGTGCAGTGCCGGCAAGTTTGCTGGGGCTCGTGTGCCCGGACGAATGGTTCTGCGTGCCACAGGTTTGCCATCATGGTCCTAGACCAAGCCAAGTCCAAAAACAGTAGGGAATTCCTGGAAGCCTTGGCACCCTGACAAATCAGCCATCCACAAACGCGTGGAGGTAAACAACGTTTACACACCATTTCAAAGAGAGAAGCGAAAAGGCCCAAACACCAGCAATCAATACTAAGGTAAGCAGAGATTAATACTGGACCGACAATCAACAAGCAAACAATACCCCAATCAAGGAATGATGAGCTATAATCTCCTGAGCAGGGGGTTGGACTAGAAGACCTCCAAGGTCCCTTCCGACTCGGTTATTATTCTGTTCTATTCAACCCAACAGGACACGGCAATCTAATCGAGGAACTACCAGGAACGTTCTCCCAGCAACGTTGTATACAAACAGAGAGCAAATCCTCCCCGCTTCTAACACTCACAATGTTTCCTTGTTGGATATTGAAACGTCACAAGAGAACAGCACCAAGGATGCCTGAGCCCTCCTCTCCACAAACCCTCATTCCCTTCCAACACTGATGAGGTTACGTAGTTGGGTCGTGAGATGTCTGCAAGAAAACCACCCAGCTCAGAGAGCATTAATGACCTCACAGTTCTCCCCTTCTTCCTCTTCCACTTCCCTGCAAACCCCATTCCCTCCTTCCAACACTGATGAGATTACGTAGTTGGGTCATGAGATGTCCGCAAGAAAACCTGCGTGCCACGGGTTTGCCATCATGGTCCTAGACCAAACCAAGTCCGAAAACAGTAGGGAATTCCTGGGAGCCTTGGCACCCTGACAAATCAGCCATCCACAAACACGTGGAGGTAAACAACATTTACACAGAGAGAGAACCCCAAGGACCTCACAACGCTCCCCCTCTTCCTCCCTCTCCTCCTCCCCTCTTCCCTGCAAACCCCACTCCCTCCTTCCAACACTGATGAGGTTACACAGTTCGGTCCTGAGACGCCTGCAAGAGAACAACCCGCCGCTGAGAGTCCCAAGGACCCCCACCTCACCGATTCCTCGAGGCCAGCTGTCACGGCCCACAGCCGCTCTCCTCGCTACTCTCCCCCCTGCCCCCCTTTTACGGAGAGACCCCAAGTCGCTGCGGATTTTGTGCTGGGTGGGAATTCCGCCTGGGGTCGTCTTGCCCCCCCCTCCCTTCCCTGGGCCGCAAGTCGGGTGGTGGTGTTGGGTGTCTGGCTAGAGAACTCACCTCCAGGCTGCACGGTGGACGGCAGGACGTTTTCGCCAGCCGACAAGGAGACGAAGAAGGCGAAGGGGATGAGCCAGAGGCAGAAGGTGAAATAGGCCAGTACCTGGAGGGGAGGGGGGGAAGTGGGGGGAGAAAGAGCATCAGGGAAGCCCACTCCCCTCAAAAGCCACCCCAGCAACCTCCAGCTGCCTTCCCAGAGTTCCCCTTTCAGGCCCAAAGCGCCCCTGGACCAGCTCGTCCCATCAGGGCCACAGCCAGGAACCAGACTGGCTCCATTTTGAGACCCGACTTAGTCAACAGATGGGGGGAGGGGTGGGGGTGAAAGCCCAGATTGTTCCTCTCGCAACCCCCCCCTACAGATAGTCCTCGACTTACGACCGCGGTCCCGCCCGACATTTCTGTGGCCGAGCGAGGTGTTTCTCGAACTGAGCTTTGGCCTCCTTTTGGACGGCCGTTCCTCGCCGCCACCGTTAAGCAAATCGCCGCGGGAACCCAGTCGTTCAGCAGATCCGGCTTCCCCCACCGACTCGGCTCATCAGAAGATTCACAAAAGGGGACCGCGTGACGCCCTCCCTGGGGGGGAGGGACACTGCGACCGTCGTAAGTGTGAGACCGCTGCTCAGGCCTCTGAATTTTGACCCTGCGACGGCGCGGAATGTCGCCACAGTCGTTAAGTGTGAAAAAGAGTTCCCTTTTTTTTTAAAGGCCGTCGTAACGTTGGACGCTAAATGAACCGTTGTTTAGTTCGAAACTACCTATACGGGGGGTGGGGGCGGGGGATTTTTGACTTATAATCGATCGCTTACCGGCCTACTTGAAAAAAAAACGTGATTTACGACCTGAATCCAAAGTTATAACTGGGCTGGAAGGTGGGATTAGGAGCAGGTCACATGGTAGCAATGCCACGTTTACGAGTGTCCTGGGGTCACATTTTATGCCATTTCGGACAAAAACCCACCCCTTATTTCCGGCTTTTGGTAAAAACCGCCTCCATGGAGAACCACGGATTCGTACTTACAACACCATTGTTCTTTTAACGACCGCCGCAAAACAAACCCCAAACAAACCCCCCAAATCTTAAAATCAGGTCGGTCGTACGTCTGACACCCCCCCCACGACACTTTACGACTGTTACAGCCAGTCTCCATTATGGTCGTAACTCAAGGAATTTGGTGCTGCTTTGGGGCTCCGTGGCTGCGGCTGCAACCGAAGGCCTGAGAGGCTCAGCGACAGCAAGAAAGGCGCTTTCCTCAGCGGCAGGTGGTCCTCGAGTTACGACCATCTGCTTAACGGCTGTCCGAAGGGACTGGGGGGAGAAAAAGGGACTTACGGCCGGTTCTCATACTTACGACCATGGCAGCGTCCCCGCACAAACTTTGGGGGCTTGGCAATGGGTTCAACACGGTTGAAGCACCCCGGCCTTCTGAAAAGACCAAGCCAATGAGGGGGAAAGCCAGATTTCACTTAACGATGGTGTGAGTCACTTAACAACCCCAGGGATCCGCTTAACGACTCTGCCCCCACCCCCACCCCCTCAAAAAGGTCCTGACGTCAGCTGTTATGACACTAATGAACAACCATCTTGCTTAGCGGTGGAAATTTTAGTCGTAAGTCGAGGACTCGCCGTAGAGAGAGGAAAACACGGCAGGGAGGGTCTCGCGGCTCTTAGGGTCGCCTGCCTCCCTCCGGACCCCTCTTACCTCTGAGAAGGGATAATATTCCTCTGCAAAATATTGAAAGGCCAGGTAATGGTTCAGCACAACCAGGACTGGAGGGGGGAAAAGAGAGAGAGAGAGAGAAAGGGGCTCATAAATTCGGAGGGGCTTCGTTCAGCCAACGAGATCCCCCTCAGACCCAAACACTTCAGGGACGGAACTGTGCCGCAGGTAACGGCCGTCGGCAGAAGCAGAAAACCAGCAGCTCCCCGACGCTTTAAGCCTCGAGCTGCTTGAGCCAAGGCGTTCCGACCCACGCCCCTTTCCCGGCAAATCAAACACAATCCGAAGGGAAGGGAAACCTTTTAACGCGTCTGCAAAATAAATAATTCGCTGTGATAAGCCCAAGCCTTGCCAAAACGGTGTTGAGATTTTGCCAAAAGATAACAGACAAGAAATAATTTGCAAAATAAGAATCGTCAAATACCAACTCGGGATACTGGAATGTCCACGAGGCCGGAGTTTCAAAACGTCTTTGCCTTCTGCAAAGTGCGTTCGTTTCACAGCTGGCTTTTATCTTCTCGAAAGGAGGGGCCATTACCTTGCAGCCTTACTCCCCAGTCGCCCGTGCTGTTGTAGCTGCTCTTTCCTCTGAGCAATCCTGCGCGCACGCGCCACTTAGCACAGGCTCCTCGGGAACCTCCTCATCGCGGCTGCCAGCCCCCACAATCTCCGAAGGCAGCAGACCACTCCCTAACGGTCCTGGCCCCTCATCTGAGTCCTCGCTCTCCTCAGCCGTCCGCACCTGCTGCCGGCTAACCACAACACGAGGGTTGGACTAGAAGACCTCCCGAGGCCTCTTCCCACTGTCCTTCGGTACTCCTGTAAATAAAGTTTGTTCATGGGGGGGAAAGGGGGGGGGGGCTCCTGATTTTCAGATTTCAAGGGCTCTCTTTTTTTGTTAAAAACAAAAACAAAGCGCGTAGCTAGTCCTCATTGGGACAATTTCAGGTCATATCCACCTTCTCGACCTTCCCTATTAATCCCGTGTCTTGGAAAAGACCCAGAAACATTACAAAACGTTGCCGGTGTTGTAAGCTTACAAAATCTCCAAAACAGGATTGAGAAAGAAGGTAAGAAAGGAAAAAGAAAAACCGCGGCCAAAACAAAGAATCACTTGGAGCCCAGAGAAAGGCTCCCGTTTTCAGTCAGGCTGACATTTACAGAACGAAGGGGGGTGGAGCGCTAGCCCTTAATATACCGCTTCACTGGGCTTTTACGGCCCTCTCTGAGCAGTTTACAGAGTCAGCCTCTTGCCCCCAACAATCTGGGTCTCCATTTGACCGACCTCAGTAGGGTGGAAGTCTGAGTCAACCTTGAGTCGGTCAGGATCGAACTCCTGTCAGTGGGCAGAGACAGCCTGCAATACTGAATTCTAACCACTGAGCCACCACAGTTAGGTAGACAGGTGTTGTGGTTAGCCAACAGCAGTTGCGGACAGCTGAGGAGAGCGAGGACTCAGATGAGGGGCCAGGACCATTAGGGAGTGGACTGCTGCCTTTGGAGATTGTGGGGTCTGGCAGCAGCGATGAGGTTCCCAAGGAGCCCGTGCCAAGTGCGTGTGCACACAGGGCTGCTCGCAGGAAAGAGCAGCTGCAGTAGCACGGGCAACTCAGGAGTAAGGCTGCAAGGTGATGGCCCATCCTTCAAGAAGATAAAAGCCAGCTGTGAAGCAAACGTTCCTTGCAGGAAGCAAAGACGTTTTGAAACTCCAGCCTCGTGGATATTCTAGTATCCTTGGTTGGTATTTGAAGATTCTTATTTTGCAAATTATTTCTTGCCTGTTATGTTTTGGCAAGTCTCACACATTAAAGGAACTTGTGAAATATTTCTTATCTGTGATTCTTGGCATCTTGCGCAGTTCTGGCAAGGTTTGTGCTTATCAAAGTTAATTAGTTTGCAGCAGCCTTTTAACCAGGGATTTGTAAGAGTCATTAAAAGGTTCCTGTTCCCTTTGGTTCGTGTTTGTTTTATTGGAAAAGAGTTTGGGTCAGAACAGTAGGTAGCTAGGTAGGTAACTACATAGATGATAGATAGAGATACTTACATACACACACACACACACAGAGAGAGAGAGAGAGAGAGAGAGAGAGAGAGAGAGAGACAGACAGATAGACAGCTAGATAGATGGATGACAGATAAGTAGATAATACAGACAGACAAGATGGGTAGACAGACAGACAGACAGACTGACAGACAGTCCTTACTCCAAGCAACCTCCCAGTCTAAATTTGGATGGCAAGGGGAAAAAAAGGAAGTGAAAACAGGTAGCCTTTGACTTACCTGGTTTCTGAATCGTTCTACATCTTAGGGGGACGTCACACCACTCCCCCACAAAAAATATCAGGCTGACAATGTCTCAAGCCAGAGACTGCAGGATTAATCAAGAGATGATTTCCTCTCATAACTTAAAGCGGGCGGGGGGGGTTGTGTCTCCAAACCTGGCCATTTTTAAGACTCCAACTCCCAGAATCCCCCACAGCCAGCCTGGTCTAACTGAAAAAGAGCGTCCAACCTTGGCCACTTAAAAACTCACGGACCTTCGATTCCCACGCTGGCTGGGGAATTCTGGGAGCGGAAGTCCGGGAGCCTTAAAAATCGCCAGGTTTGGGAGGCCCAATATCTTAAACCAGTGGCCCCCAACTTTTTTTGTGCCACGGCCCAGTACCGGCATCACAAAATGATCCGCGGCCCGGTACCGGCATCAGCACGCATGACAAGGCAAGGCGAGCCAAGCGACCGGCCAGCCAGCCATCCCCCACTTCTCCCCGCCACCTTCAACGCCTCCTTTGTACCTTTGTCGATGGGTTTTGCTTCGGGACGGCTTCGGGACGGTCGCTCGGCTCGCCTTGCCTTGGGTGCTGAAAGAATCCTCGCCCCGTAGTTTCGTTCGAAGCCGCCCCCCCACTTCAATGAAACTAAGGCGCGAGGATTCCTTCAGGACCCAAACGCCGCTTTCCAACTGGAAAAGCTCACCCGGAAGCACTTTATCATCGAAACAAGATGGTGGCGCCCAGCAAACCGGAGGCCCGGTAGAAAATATTCCACGGACCGGTACCGGTCCGGGGACCGGTGGTTGGGGACCCCTGTCTTAAACGAACAACAGCAGGACTACAGAGTGAGTGCCGTTTCCTAGATGGTGGAGACACAACCTCGCTTGACAAAAGTCACAATCAGAGAGGAAGACGCCGTGAGGAAGGCCCTCCAGGGCTGTAGGGGCATCGGGGGTGTGTGTGGGGGCCACTCACCACAGGAGAGGATGAAATTTGGAGAGGTCAGCATGATGAAAGGGAAAGTTTGCAGCAATCCGAAGTAGACCAGGTTGGTGAAGAGACCCACGCCCACCACGAGACCCGGGAAGTGCTCAAAGAGATACAGGCCGACCAGCACAGCCGTGGAGAACTAGGAGAGAGAGAGAGAGAGAGAGAAAGAGGTCAAGGGGGTAAAAGAGTCTCAAGTCGTGCCAGGCAAAGGGGTCTGGAAGGTGGACTTCACCGGGCTCATTTCTGGTTCTTAGGGGGAGACACTTCAGTCGGAACAGAGCTGGAAGGCGGCTCAGCTGCCTCCTATCTCAGTGATCGCCAACCCGGTAGGCCGAGGACCACCGGTGGTCTGCGAGAAAATTTTGGTCTTCAGCTGGAGAAAAAAAACTCTCCCCAAACCAGTCTTTAATTGGAGGAAATTCAGTCCGAAAACAAAGTACACATAAACTGTAACTAAAAATCCACACAAACCACGCTGCAGCAATTAACTGGACAGGGCATGAGAAGGAATTGCAGGCCTCAAAGGCCAACAAAACACACACAGTTGGGAAGATGCCAGGAACACAGATAAGCCTCGACCATAAAAGATAACTCAGATCTGCTTTCAACAAGTTGCTGTGTGCGAACTCCCTTTTTAAACACTGTGTTCCCAGCTGCAGCTAATGAAGGGAATCAGGGCCCTTTCCTCCCCCACAAGCCATGCAACTCACGTTGCTCCCTTCTCCGTTTCTCCCTGTGTGCCCCAGGATGAAGAGGGGGTGGGCCTGGGTCTTCCTCCGAATTCCCTCTGCCTTGTTCTACCTCTTCCCTGCTCTGCCCAGCCAGACTTTGCCCTTCCCCAGTTTCTTCCACAGCCAACGGAGCTCGGCCTCCCCCTTGGCATCAGATTCCAACAGGGGCATGACACCTCCACTCCCCAAGCCTGCTGCTTTCTTCGCCACCTCTGGCCACGCGGGAGGTGGAAAAAAAAAAAGAGACCCAATGAAAAGCCCCAAAGAAGAAGAAAAACGTCCCTCTAAATCTCAGTTTCTCAACCTCGGCCAATTCTCTCTGCCAGCTGAAGATTCCCCACCTCTTAACCTCACTGGGATCAGCCCTGCCCACCCACCCTCAAAGCCTATACAGGCAGTCCTCAACATATGACCACAATCTTGAGCTCAACATTTCCATGACTAAGCAAACATTTGTTGAACTTTGTGCAACCTTTCTGGGCCCCCGTTATTAAGTGAATCACCGCCGTTGTTAAACCAGTCTGGATTCCCCCCCCCCCCCGGGTGGTTTTCACGTGTCGGAAGGCCGCCCCAAAGGGGGAATCACGTGACAAACCCCCACCCCCACCCCAGGGGCGCTGCGACCACCATAAATGTGAGTCCAGTTGCCAAGGGTCTGGATTTTGGATCGCGTGAACGTGAGGATGTTGCAGTGTGAAAACTGGTCGTAAGTCGCTTTTTTTCCCCCCTGGCGTTGTAGCTTCCCAATGGTCCTTAAGCGAACAGTTGTTGAGAACTACCTGTGAACATTTCCTCCAGGGAAGGGGAGACGGGACCGTCGAAAGCAGCCAAGGAAGTGGGTGCTTTCCCAGGGTCTCTCTTCCTGCCTCCCACTCCCTCCCCGCCCCAAACCAGAGAGAGACCTGCAGAAAAGGCAGGTTTGATGCTTACCCAGATCATGTATTTGATGATCCGGCTTGTGGCCACGGTGTACTCTTCTATCAGCTCTGCCAGGTAGTACAATCCAGCCGCTGAGAGGGAGGGACCAGGGAGGAAGAGGAGAAACACCCAACCATTAAGCCGTCCTGCCATGCTGCCTAACCTGCAGTCAGCTCCCCTGCAAGGGGAGGCCAAGGCCCACTTCCTCCCGCATCCCTGGCTGGACAGGCAAGGAGAGCGGCCTCCAATGCGGCCGAGCTGTCCCTCCAAGCATCCATCTCAGCCGTAGGATGGGAGGCAGGAGCGAAGGGAGAAGGCCACGGCCCTGCCTCTCCCCCAAGCATGAAAACCACCACCCAGCTATTGCTAGATAGATAGATAGATAGATAGATAGATAGATAGATAGATAGATAG